GCTGCCTCCAGCCCGAGGGTGTCCAAGTGCCCCGAGGCTGCAGCCCAGCAAGGAGCTGGATGCTTTGGTGTCTCTCCTGCCTCGTGATAAATGAGAGTCTATTCTTTTCTGCTATGTGGTTTGATCTTAATTTCCTGTATGAAGTCCTCGAGAGAATGCCAAGATCAAATAATTAGACTATTCTGCGATAAAGAGTTAACATTGTTATTCAAATGTATTCAGAATTCATTTACCACCAAACAATTTACACTGCCGCCCTCCTACCCTGCTGAAATTACCAGAATGTGTTATCTGACACACAAAGCGTCTCATGACCTGAAATAACTTTATCAACCATGAAATGCTTGAGCAGTGGGTGCACGGTCACAGAAATGCCCAAGGGAATGAAGGAGAAACTACAAAGGCAATAAGGGATTTAAAACCACCCTGGTGCCATCCCCTGCCAGGCTCCCCAAAGAACACTTGGCCACTCTGGTCACCAGGCTCGAGCTGAGCAGAAAAACCCTGGAGCTGTTTTTCTGAGGGCTCCCACTCCAGCATTCATGTCCCCCATGGATGTGCAGCTCCCAGCCCTTGGGTGCTGCCTTTTCAGCCTGGAAAAGCCTGTTTCTGCTTTATTTTTAAAAATACAACTTCATTTGCAGAGTGTGGGAAGGTGGTTTCAAAATAAAATTCCTGACAGGCATAATATGCCTCAGAAAAGCCAATCACACAGAGCAGGATAATTATCCACAGAATTTGTTTTCTATGTATTTGTGTACAATAATCAATGATATTTTTCTCACACGGACTCCAATTTGATTGTATTTTCCGTGTTACTTGCAAATCATACAAACAATCAATGCTCTGACCCCTTCTCTATGCAAACACAGCTTAGAAAGACACTACAAGAAATAAAATCCGATAAATTCCTCACGCAGGGTTGTTTGTTTAAAAGCTTTGCTGGAGACTGATCCTGCTCCCAGCGACTTCAGAGATACGGGAGTGGGACTGTCAGACATGCTGGGATTATTGCCACAAAGATCAGCAGGAAGAGAACCTTAGTAAAAAACCTGGCACAAAGTGAGGACCCAGAGGTGGAGGTGATGCTTTTTAAAATGCAGCAAGGACAATGAATTCATTCCCTGGCCTGGCACCTCGTCCTGCAGAGGGGCACAGAGCTGGGGTTGGGGTGAGCCGGGGCAGGGCGGGCTGGGACCCACACGGGGGGCACAGGAGTGGGGTGGCCAAGGGCAGTGATGGCAGCAGGGCAGCGTGGTGTCACCTTCTGAGCAGCACCTGAGTGCAAACCCGCTCAGGAACCCCCAAATCCAGCTCCTGCTGCCTGCCCGGTGCCGGGGGTCTGTTCTTCACAATTTACTGAGCTCAACCCATTGGCATCCGATCCTCACATGCAGCTCGCTAACACATCGTCACTCGGAGGAATTCCTGATGATGCTTCAGCAAGAAAACGTGTCTGCTGGAGCCGCCAGCCCTGCTCCATGCCAGGCATCCCGCCCTGCTTTGTTAGGGACGGTGCCATCAGCTCTACAAAATGGCATCAGGCTCTGCCTGGGCGTTGAAGGGTGCCACTGCTGCTTTTTAATCCGAGCGAAAGGTCGGACAAATGGGCTCTCCACGGCACCACGACCACCGAGCTGCCGCTCCTCCGAGCTGCGAGGGGCACGCTATTGCGGATGCCCAGCAGCTCTCGGTGCCAGGCGCGATGTGCCCGCGGCGAGGGCGGGCAGCAGCGGGAGAAGCGCCGGGGTAAGCACGGGCACCCTGCTCTGCCTCCCTTCCCGAGCAGCTCGGAGCTGAACTGAGCATTCGGATACTCGGGTGGTGTTTTCTGATACGGCGTTTTCAAATATTTAACAGATTGCGTAATAAGCGAGCAGCTGTTGAATAAGCTTCGGATACAAACTCATGCTTCAAAAAAAGCCCCATCCTGTAACAAGGCACAGATTTTCTTTGTACTGGTGCATGTATAGATTATGTTTAGATGTGGAGATTAAATATTTATATTTTGCTGGTGAAAGAAAGAGTGCTTTTGGCTTTTTCTTCCCTTTCTTAGATATCTCTCCCTGTATTTATTTTAACAGTCAGCTTCACAGGGAAAAAAAAGAGAGCTTTGAGAAGTTACCTGCTTTCTCTCGGGTTTGATTTTCAGTGCTAAACCAATAGTTACTTAAGTGTTCTGCACTTCTTGGCATAACCTAATAATTAAAATAATTACTTGAAAGCCAGGGCAGCTTTGCACAAATTAATGGAGGGTAAGAAGCTGCAGTTTTCCAGTGGGCTGAAAAAGAGGTCATAAAATGATGCCAGTTTTAGCTGAGAGAGAAGGTAAACACACATCTCCCTGCAGCCCCGATTAAAGCCTTTTCCTGATCTTTTAAGTTTCTTACTTTACTGATCAAGGACGTGGCTCGATGAGGGGCTGGCTCTTGTGGGGTTTCTCAGCAGGTAAGGCGAGACCGTTCCTGTGGAAGGCACGGCAGTGCTGGCAGTGGCACAGCTGTGCTGCTGCAGCGGGCAGCCCTTCCTGCCTTCCTGCCCGCGGGCCTCCATCCCTCCCTGCCTCCATCTCTTCCTCCCTGCCTCCATCTCTTCCTCCTTTGCCTCCATCCCTCCCTCCTTTGCCTCCATCCCTCCCTCCCTGCCTCCATCCCTCCCTGCCTGCCTCCATCCCTCCCTCCTTTGCCTCCATCCCTCCCTCCTCTGCCTCCATCCCTCCCTCCCTGCCTCCATCTCTCCCTCCCTTGCCTCCATCTCTCCCTGCCCGCCTCCATCTCTTCCTCCTTTGCTTCCCTCTCTCTCTCCTTGGCCTCCATCTCTCCCTGCCTGCCTCCATCTCTCCCTGCCTGCCTCCATGTCTCCCTGCCTGCCTCCATCCCTCCCTCCCTTGCCTCCATCTCTCCCTGCCCGCCTCCCTCTCTCTCTCCTTTGCCTCCATCCCTCCCTCCCTTGCCTCCATCCCTCCCTGCCTGCCCGCTGAAGGGGAGCAGAGCTGCAGCAGACCCAAGAGCTTTCGTGGAGAGCTGGCAGCAGCCTCTGCATTGAAATCTCCTCTGTCCTTCTTGTGCAATTGCTTTGAGCCTAGAAAATCAATTTTCTAAATGTCCATCCAGGACAACCGAGGCACTGAGAGTCGAGACTAAACATCTCCCCGGAGCCCTCGGGGATACTCCTGAGCCTGAATATCCCTGGAGTCTCAGCACCGCCATCCCCAGCGGCCTCAGCCCGTTCCCCCTCAGCTGCAGCTGCCCCTGGCCGCCTCCTCGGAGCGCCAGCCTGGCAGCAGCCGGCTCTGCCCACCAAGAATCAGCCCCGCTGCTGCCAAGCCGAAAGCAGGAGGAGCTGCCAGCCGGGCAGCCCAGCTGCCACAGCCCCCCCAGCACACGGCTCACGGTCCCAAAGGCCATCTGAGCCTGCCGGGGAGGGAAACTCTGCCACGGTGCTCTCGGTGGGGACAGGCTGGTGACACACGGAGGGGGGACTCAGAGCAGGACGCCTCCTCCCCGCTCCTGCATCCCAGCGCGCCCCGGCAGCAGCGAAACGGAGCCTTCCTGGGAGCGGGTTTGTGTGGCACAAAACATTTCCAGCTGTTCCAGGCGGAGGCTGAGCATACTAAACAGCTTGGCCCCGGTAAAAGTTCAGCAGCCGCCAGGGCCCCAGGCCCGGAGGCAGAGCCATTAACCTTTTCCACCGATATTTCTGGCACTACAATGTGCACGGGGTAACATCTGCCTGGAGCGCCCCATTCACAGAAGTCTCGGGGAGACCAGATGCTCACCCTGCAGGAAGCAAGTCCTTGTCCGTGAGATGATCTGGGCCACGCAGCCACTTCAAGCCATTCTGGAGGTGACAGTGCTTCACTTTAAAAAGCACTTGTCCCTCAGGACCAGCATTTTTCTTTCTGGCTTTCACATTGCTGCTGTGCAGTTGCACTGGCATAAGTAAGACCCATTTGTTTTTCCAGTCAAAATTATTCACAAATCTATTCCGTTTTCACTGATTTATCTGGATTAAAATTTGAACCTTCAAAAGGGAGGTAAACCTGTCCTTGTAATTTTTAGTGGGCAGACAGCAAATCCGTGGGAACGTGTACCAATGGCAAAGTGCATGGGATGTAACAGAAATGAGCGCCGTTCTTTACATGACATGATTAAAACAAGTATCTCGTTTAATTAGAAAAAGAAAGATCGCAGACTCATTCCCAGGATGTTATCTGTGCAATTACTTTATGTAACATTATTAAAAATTAATTTTCCCCAGAACCTCAGCAATTTAATGAAACACGCCTGGTCCTCAGCAGCAGCTGCAGCGGAGCCAGCCCAGCGGCATCCTCCAGGCAGCGGGACTCGGTGTCGCGGGGCCCCCGGGGCTGTCTGTCCCTTGTGCTGGGAGCATCCAGCCCTGGGTCAAAGCACCTCTGCACAGCCCCCTATTGCCGCAGGCTCAACAGCCCTCCTGCACCGGGTACCGCAGCCCTCCTCGCCACAAGCTCCGCATCCCCCCTCTCCGGGGACTCGGCATCCCCCATCTCTGTGAGCAAAAATCCTCCTTCTCCAGAAAATCAGCATCCCCCCTTTCTGGGTGCTCGGCATCCCCCGTCTTTGGGGACTCAGCATCCTCCCTCTCCAGAGGCAAAGCATTCGTCCTCTCCGGGATCAAAGCGTTCCCCTTCCCCGGGGAATCAGCACCCCACTCTCCAGAGGGACAGCACTCTCCTCTGCTCTTCGCAAGGTGTCCAGCACCCCCCTCACCCGGGGCGGCTGCTCGCACCGCGAGCGCTGCCCGCTCCGTTCCGGGACACGGCTCCTGCCTCGCCGCGCCGCCCCGGCACCAGGCAGCGCGTCCCAGCCCCGGCCAGGGCATCCTTCGCCGGGGAAACCTCCGCCCGGGCATCGGACAGCGCATCCCGCAGTCCCGGGTGCCGCATCCCTCCCGCGGCCCCGGCAGCGCGTTCTCCGCCCCGGCCGCGAAGTTCTCCCGCCGCCGGCGCCGGCCCTTACCGATCCGGATGACATGCGGCATCCCGTGCGAGCTCTGTCCCCAGAAGCCGCCGACCAGGAGCGCTGCCCAGTATTCCCAGAGGACGCGGCGGAGCGCCGGCCAGAGATGGGGCATCGTTGGGGAGGGCGCGGGCCGGCGCGGCCCTACGGCCCCAGGGGCAGCGGGGACGCGGGCGGCTGCTGCCCGGGGCTCAGGCGGAGCGGCCGCTCGGCGCCGGGGCCGGGCGGCTCATGGCACATCTTAGAGCGGCCGCGCCGGCCCGTCCCGCGGCGGCCACAGCTCCGGCCGCTCCCTTCCGCGCCGTGCCGAGCCGAGCCGGGCCGAGCCGTGCGGTGCCGGTGCCGGTCGGGCGGCACCTGCGGAGCCGGGGCTGCCGGTGCGCCCCAGGAGCGGCTCTGTCCCCTCCTACCGCTGATGCGCGGCTCGCGCAAAGCCCCGGAGTGGAGCGTGCACACACCGACACGCTCACACCCCCTGCCACACGCCCGGCACACCCCCGGCACACACCCCGGCACGCTGACACGCCGCCGACACCCGGCACCCGCCCGCTCCCCCGGGGCGAGGGCAGCGCCGGCGGCCGCGGGGCGGGATGCCCGGGGACCCTCGGCGGGCACCGCGGGGCGAGGGGCGATAGCGCGGGGGTCCCGGGGGTCTCGGCAGCGCTGCGTGTTCCTGCTCCCTCTGCCCCCGACAGACAGATCGCGGGGTGCTCGGTGTCCCCCAAGCTCGGGGGTCCCGAATGACCCCGGGGGTGCCGGTGTCCCCGCCGGCGGGCGCCGGGAGAGGCCGGGCAGGGGGTTCGGGGATGGGGCCGGCGTCCCGGGGGCGGGCGGGGCCGGGCCGGGGCCGCTGCAGCGCCGGTACCGCGGCGGGCCGCGCTCCGCAGCCGGGAGTTTAATGACCTCGGCGACAGAGACAAAGGGCTGCCCGTGCCGCCGACCGGGAGCTGCTCTGTCAACGTGCTGGGCCAGGCTAGGGTGAATTTCTTTCTTTCTCATTTAAATAATTTGATCTATTCTATCATTTCCAATCGTTCCCATTTGCCAGCTGTCTGCTAACTCCAGCCTGGAACAGCTGAAGAGCAAATCTTTAATTTTCTTACAAACATACTATTACTCTGTATCGGTTCATCTTTTCAATTTTCCTTGCCCGCCGCTTTCCCCGGCAGCAAGCTCGGCATGCTGAAACGCTGATCGCCGTCCTGCACTCTGCTCCAGAGCCCCATCCCGGAGCAGCCTCCGGGAGCCGGGCTCTGTGCCCTGAGGAGGAACACTGCGACTCGTTATTGATCTACAACTCAAAGAGAAGTTGCTGCGTGTCGCCTCCGCCAGCAGCAGTCAGTGCGGGACCGCTGCGGGGACGTGGACACGCGGGGGGTTCCCTGCGTGCCCACTGCAGCGCTGTCCGGGCTCTGGCTGATGCTACAGCAGCAGCACTGGGGGATTGGCCAGGCAGTGTGACAGCCGGAATCGTAAGGAAAAGCTGGAAGAGTCTCTGGCTGCACGCCCAGGGCAGGACAGCCCCTCCCAGCGATGCTGCGGTGCCCCCCGGGCCGTGCTGTGAGCGGTGCCTCGCTGGGGCGATGGGGAAGGTGCGGCCGAGCGTGGCCGGGCTCTCAGTGTCGGGTGGAGGGGACATCTCACTGTACCTCAGCGGCGAGGCAGAGGGGCTGCTCAGCCTCCTCCAGGCGCTGCAAACAGCTCGGCCACAGAGGAGGGGGTTGTTGGTGTTGACTGTGGGCAGGGCCGAGGCTCCAGCTCCCAGCCAGAACCTTCCTGCCTGTGCCAAAGATGGTTACAGAAAAGAGTGGCTCGTGTTAAGGATATTTTTATCCCTCCTGACACCAACGTGGATAAGATTTAGCAAAAGGGCATGGAAGAAAAAGTCTTTAAATACTGCTTAAGCGAAGGACAGCTGTTTCTGTGAACTTGTTATAAAATTAAATGTCACAACCTGGTGACACTTTGCACCTGCAGATAAAAAAGCCCCACAAAGCTGTTGGGAGGGAGCAGGTAAAAAAGGCTGTTTCGGCTGTGGCTGTTCTTTGCTCTTTGCAGACTCCAGCACATGGAGAAGAGGTTTGGTTTTTGTGGAGTGTTTAAACTAAACTGTAGCTGAGAGAAAATATTCTGTTAGTTTGGGATGCTGCTTCCTGCTTTTCTGTCAGTACCAGGCACTGATAAGGCTCCAATCTCAGCTTCAACCTCTGGATCCTACTGCAGAGCCAGCACAAACAGTTTATTTTGAATTAAATGATTTGATTAGTGGCAGATGGGTGTGTGGAGGTCACGGACAGTCCTCATGTCCTGCGTGTAGGTCAGAGAGGGCAGGAGAGGAGCAGCTCTGGGCCAGAAATTACCACAGCAGTCGAGCTTGGGCACAGGCAGAGGAGCACTCCAGGGCTGCTTCCCTGGCTTGTCCTTCCCAAAGCCACCCGAGGCATTCAGCAGAGCAGCCCACCATGGCTGAGTCTCCCTCCCTTCGTACTCCCACACTGCCCCAGCCCATCCTCTCTGTGACTTGGCAATGCTCCTCTCTCTGGGCAGCACCCTGGGGATCCCAGCATTACAAAGAGGGCATTTTGGAAAACATTTGGTGTTGCACCATTGCTGCTTGTGGGGTTTTTTTTGCCCCATACAAAGACTCAATTTCACCTGATGCCCATGGAGGGGCTGCCTGGGCCCAGAGCTGTGAAAACGACCTTCAGCTGCCAGGCCAGACTGCCACTGGAGCCGGAGCCAGGTCGTGATGGACAATCACAGCAGAGCCAGGATAGATGGACAGAAGAAGGAGGAACCTGGAAGGGTGATAGAGCTCCTCAAGGGCCCAGAGCTCTGGCTCGGTGCTGCTGCACAGGTGAGTGCTGCCCAGGGGGATGCTGGGCCTGGGGAGCAGGATTTACACCCAGCTGAGTCAGGGATTTCTTCAGGAATCTTTGGCTGCGCTTGAGGATAATCAAAGGTAGCAGAAGGACTTTAGCTCTGGACAACTTGTTACGGTGATGCTAAAAATACAAGATATTTGCCCAGTTCATAAGTGCTGTGAAAATAGCTTTAATGTATTAATTCATCATTTAAGAGTGTATCAATTAATGCAAACTCTGGTGTATTTATAACCTGTGAACATAGTGTACCAGTGAGGAGAAGTCGATTCGTTATTTTGAGTTTGTTGAGAAGATATTTGGATGTTATTTTTTCGTGCTGCTGTTTTTACTATGATATGTGGGGTATTTAGAACTCCAGCTATTACACAGGTCAGATTCAAAATTGTGTACATCTTATGGGGGTTTTATAGACATAAAAATTTCAGTCCTCTCACCTACAAATAAAGCTGTAGGTTTATGGGTGTTCTCAAGACACTGATTTAAGACTTCTTATTTTTAAATACGAAAGGAAACCACTTGCAAAAGTAGAAAATAGTGTTCATATTATTAATATTTAGAGGAAAATGCTGATTGACGAAAGACATTTTCAAATCAGACTAATGCTTTAGAGCAGCAGCAGAACGATGAACCTGGCAGAAAGAGACATAAGCATTTCTATAGCTACAGCATTTTTCAATACTAATGAAGAAAAAGAGGCTTCTCTTTATTTCTGTAATGGTATCTAAACTGGTTCGTTGGAATTAGCTCCATCCACATGTGTTTTGTTTAGATTTATATGCATCAAGTCTAATAGAACCACAATCAATCTGAGTTACGAGGCTCAGTGCTCGCATTACCGAGATTCATGTGCCGAAGTCGGCTCCTAAAACATCAGAGGGAATATACCTGGGAAAAATGCAGATTTCTGGGACTTGAGTGCCCTCTACTGAAACCGTCCCGGCTCCGGCCCTTCGCTGTGACACCCGCAGCTCGATTGATGGGCTGCTACATCGAATTGAAGCCTGCGGTTCACAGATCCATTACCAAGGATCCCTCCTTTCCTTCCTCCCCGCTCTCATCCCGCACTCCGGCACGCTGGTTAATTCTGGCTCCTGCAGCTGTGCCACAGCAGATTTCCCGCTTTAAATGGCAAGTTGAGATGCTGGAAGGAGGATTCCTTTGGCTGTAACCATCCGGGAGCTGCGATGGCACTGAGGAGCGCTGGGGCTGGGCACAGCAGGGCTGCAGGAGAAGCTTTGCCCGAGGAGTTTGGGTCTGCTGGGTGTCTCTTCTTTAACTCCGTGCCAGCAGCCGGGATGAGGTGATGCTGCCACCCACGCTCCAGCAGCTCCTGCAAAAGCAAACACCAGCTATCCGCATTGGGCCCCGCAAACCCACTGCAATTTCTGCTACATTTTGCTTGTTTTGGGGCGGAGGGAAAAGGGAAAATTCCCACTTCCCACTCGGCATTCCATCTGGAAGGGAGAGGCATTGTGTTTGTGCGCTTGGGATGGAGGCAGGTGGGGCCAGGGCAGAGGGAAACGCTGCGAACTCGTGTGTTGTGGTGCTGGCCAGCCGATACCAACGTGAGGAGGTTTCCCATTTAGGTTTTTATGAGATTTATTCTCTAATGAATTCCCGCGGTGAAGGCGTGGCTGCTCCGTCCGGGGTAGGAAATGTGGGGTTTCTGCAGCGGAAGAATTGTTGCTTCGCTACACCGCATATATTTGTGTTGGAACATAGCGCGGTGTAATAGCTGGTTTGAAATGCATCCAGTTCTGCGGAATGCATTATTGTGGAAGTCGGGAGAAGGCGAAGCTCCTGACAAACCCAGAGCAGCGGCGCCCCACAGGAGCTGGGAGGGTGGGAAGGGGCCGGGAGCAGGCTGCACTGCCACCCTTGGCTGGGTGGCTGCGGGGAGCTCCCATCAGAGCCCCGTGTGCCCGAGCACATCAAAAGGCGCTCCCGGGGCTCTCTGAAGTGCTGGCATCACCCCCGCCCTGCAATCCCCACCCGCCGGCTCCCTGCAGGGACGAGATTGTCCCCAGTGTCCCCAGCCTGGCAGGAGATGCGAATTGGCTCTTCCTTCCCGCGGTGGTGTTTGCAGCACCCATTTCTTCCGCTGCCCCTTTGCAGCCGAGCAGAAGTGGGGGTGAGACAAGGGCCGTGCTGGGAGTGCACAGTGACCCTTCAAACAATGGCCAGGGAGGTTTCCCACACTTTCCTGCCTTGGGATGGTGTAACTGAGGCTGATGGAGCCTCTTTGAGTGAGGCGAGAACAGAGGGTGTGAATCTTGCTCTTATTTTTAATCAGTTATGCTGCAGTTTGCTCTGTCTGAGGGTGCCCTGCAGGCTGGGAGCGTCACCCACCTG